TTTTTTTTTTCTGGGTTTCTTAATTTAGGTCTTAGTTTGTCAGATTGAAATCTGGGGGAGCTTTTAGTGATAAGATGCTGTGTGATTGGTTTTCTGGATGTGGGTTTGCTCGATTGTAAGCAAAATTTTATGCCTTTTCTTTTCCTACTTTCAGTACAGAGCTCGACCACCCATACCGAAATCCAGATTGTGTGAACTTTGGTTCGAGAAAACGGTAAGTCTTTCATTTGTTGCTCGTGTTGGCCAAAGTTTTGAACTCAATGTGTCTGTTATTTTTAATGAAAAAATCGAATCTTTAGCCTCTATGTTGATGTATAAGGAAACTAGAGATGTAATCTTGTTAGCATCAATGTATGAAACTTTACCTTTGCTCGTTGTCTTGATAGTGAATCATGTTATTGATCGAAATAAGTGAGATGTTTGTAGGTTGAGATGTCGTTTTATCGTAAATTTTACCCCTTTTGAAATTCGGCTCATATTGTGATAGATTGAGATCGAGCACGTTTGAAGTTCAATGTGTCTTTTTTTTTTTTAATGAAAAATCGAATTTTTAGTCTCTATGTTGACGTATGAGGAAACTTGAGATGTAATGTTGTTAGCATCAATGTATGAAACTTTGCCTTTGCTCGTTGTCTTGATAGTGAATTGTGTTGTTAGATCGAAATAAGTGAGGTTTTTGTAGGTTGAGATGTCGTTTTATTTCAAAGTTTTCCCCCCTTTTGAAATTCGCCTGACTGTGATAGGTTGAGATCGAGCGCGTGTGGTGCATCTAATTCGAAGGCTTACAAGGAGAAAGTTCGTAGGGATAGGCTCAATGAAAGGCATATTCCTTCTTTCCCTTGTTAGTTTTGTGATATGTTATGAGTTATGACTTATTAATCCTTGTTTTGTTCAATATTGAGACTTTTTTATTCGAATCCAAGGTTTCAAGAACTTAGTTCTATATTGGAACCCGGAAGGCCGCCCAAAATTGACAAAGGTCTCATATTGTGTAATGCAATTCGAATGGTGACTCAACTAAGGGACGAAGCCAATAAATTGAAAATATCAAATAGTAATTTGCAGGGGAAGGTCAATGAATTGAAGGTTTGTTCTCTCATTTCTTGGTAACTCTACTTGAGGGAAATTAACTTAACTCCACATTTGATCGAAAAATTGCAGACAGAGAAAAATGAACTTCGAGATGAGAAAATGATGCTAAAAGCAGAGAAAGAGAGTCTCGAGCAGCAAATGAAGGAAGTAATGAGCGCTCGACCGGGAGTTTTACCTCATTTTCCTCAAGTTTCACCACATTTTGCAGCTCCACCTCACAAACTTGTTCCTGTTATGGGATTCTCGGGTATTCCAATGTGGCAGATGATGCCGCGTACAGCGGTCGATACATCGGAGGATCACACTCTCCGCCCGCCGGTAGCTTGAGCTTTTGGAGATTCTAACTGCTTTCATTTAATCATTGCCAATAAACTTTGTTGACACAAGTATTTTTTCCCTAATTGTGAGATCTCTGTGCTGATGAGAATGGATTTACTGTGATTATTCTGGGATTATGGACTTGTTTAATTTCATTGAGTTACCTCTACATGTGAATAAAATGCTCACAATTTTACCCGTTAGTGGTTGTATGTGTATTTCTTCTCGTTTCCTTATCGAGAAAGATTGATTTTTTTTATTTTTTACCTGTTTTTATTACGCTCAAGATCGGCTCGTCAAAAGAAGACAATCGCTCGAGAGAGATCGATTGAAATCAAAATGCTCGAAAGACGAGTTCCAGTTCCACTCAAATTTCTAGTAAAATTACCAGCAAGTACATAAATTAAAATATTGTAATATTTATATGAGGGATATTTTAGCAATTCACTACATATCTCGAGCCGTTTCCTTCCAAAACCTATTCTTGAGATCGACTTGATATCGAGCTGCTCAAGCTCGAGCCGAGCTTTGACTCGAGCACTCGCGAGCGGATCGCAAGCCGCTTGGTTCGTTTGCATCCCTAACCATGACTTGTGAAGATATAATTTGCTCTCTTGAAATCGATGAACACTTTGAATCGACCGTTTTGATTGAGATAGAGACTTAAACCTCCGTTGTAAACCGCTAAACCCACAGCACAAACGAACGCACAATTCAGATTTATAGTTCCTTGCAACAAATGCACGTCTCGAGTTAGTCTCGAGTTAGTTTATCTGAACTGTGACCCATTTACAAATAACCGAACCCTCTTAACAAAATTACGTGCAATAAACGAGTGGAAAACGAAAAAAACTCAGCAAGGTTTTTTGAACCCCATACTCTTCCCGCTCGTGTAATCTCTCCATACATCCACAGCCCCAAAACCAGTCATGAAAACGGTACTCAGAGCCATGACAGTCCCAACCGAGAACACTATGAGTGAGGCCCGCCCGTGTCTCAAAATGGCCCGTTGAACTAATGTCAGCCCGGCCAATGAGGCTACGAAACAAATGGCCGCGAAGGCTAGGGGACCGTTTATGTCTTCCATGCCCAAGAACAAGTATTGAGTTGCGGACATTGACGAGGAGAATAGTACCATAAACGAACAAGTTGCCGCTGTCACCTAGAGTCCCACGAGGCAAAAATTTACAACTAACAATCAGCAAATTTTTTTCCAAAATAACGAATCGAATATTTAATTTCATGGCAAAAATCATACATATAAAACAGAGTAGAAGCATAGCTTACTTCAGGTTCAATTCCCATTTGGAGAAGAAGTGGACTTATGAGCATGCCCCCTCCAATTCCAAAAATGCCCCCAAGAATCCCGGCTAACAGCGCCATTAAAGGGAAAACCGGAGATCGACAATGTGCGGGTTCATCTCCATTGACCTGTAATAGGAGGCATAGGATTCAAATTCGAATCAAGAAAGTCAATGTTCATTCTGTGGGAAAAAAAAAAAAAAAAAAAAAGAATTTTTTCGAGCACCTGTCGATTAGTTTCAGAAGTTATAACTCTTGATCTTCTTCTAATATGAAGCATCCATATCGTGAAGAAGATCGCTAGAGGAATTTGAGCCGATGAAATTATCCAGTATCCCGTCCCGCAAGTCTCTATCTGGATTATGCCCTACAAAATTTTCAAAAAAAGTTAAGTAGTAACAAGATTTTGAGCATGATTGGTAACACATATTGTGTACATGTCTCACATTTTGTAACAAAAAGCTAATAAATGCTCGAGTTGTTTATCAATGTTAACAAGCCGAACTATAAAAAATTATATACAAATTAAATTGTATTTTTTGAGCACTAGCGAGCAGAAGTTGTTAACTAAGTACGAGCTCAACTCGTTTCGTTTAACTAAGCTCAACTCGTTTATATAAAAAAGAAATCGTATTTTCCAAGTACAAGTTCTAACTCGTTTCGTTTAACACTTGTTTAATTGCAAAATTGAAAAATAATTTATGATGATTAAAAATTAAATAGACTAAAATATAAAAGACAATTTATTTTATTTTATTTAGTTTTTTTCTCTCACTCACCTGACCGTAGCGATTTCCACGAAGCAAGTATAGGACAAAAAAGGACAACCATATGAGTACAAGCATCCCCAGCTT